TAAGGAGGACTGAAGAAGAAAACTAGTAGAGCTTTTCTCAGTATTCTCACATGAGGTTTCTTTATAACAGCCCAGCAATGCCACCCGAAATGTAGAAATTCGCCAAAGAAATAAGCGACAAGCGAACTTACCGACATTCGCAAAATCTAAAATCTGAATCCCGGGGAGCCACTGGACTCAAACAAATGGTAAGCTGTCATTCAACGTGTTGGACTAACGGGGAGGACCGTTGTCTAGCATTGTAAATCTTCCGGCTGATGATGATGATGTTCGATAGGTAGTTAAATTGTTTCAACAGGTGAAATTGAAACAATCGCAAAGTCCACACCGGCTGTAAGTACCTACTGTTTATTTTCCATACAGCTTAGAGCCTGCATTTTAGTACGAATTCATGTTTATATGATTTCGTTATCGTTACTATCTCCAATTTAAAATGCAAAGGCAGTAAAATCGGTATCCAAAATTATTGCCTTTTTTCATATTTAGGTAGGTTCATTTGTTTTGTATATTTCAAAATACTTACGTTATTAAAAAAAAAGTATTAAAAGCAGCATCCCAACAGTAACGTGAGAAATCAAATCTATATAAATTCGAATAAAGTTAAATCAGAAACATTGGTATTCATTTGACTATATTTTTTGCATGGACTTGGTGGATGCACTAGCGTGCAGCCTATAACCAAAGGTAGCTGTCACGCCCTGATTGTTGGAAACCTTTGCCTGAGCCATTGAGAAGTACGCATGCGCGAGCCCGGCCGAAGCTGTGACCCTTACCCCCAGCCCCGCGCCGCGCCCACTTGCATCGCTGGGCTCTGCCGGTCTTGTCGTTATTATTTCAAGTCACATATTTCTTAAATTTCGAGCTCTTTTACTTGTGTTATGTTAATGTGACGATGCCCTGCTATTCGCGCTGGCAGAGGGTCATCACTCATCAGATTTAACTTCGAACTAACTGCGTCTAAGGAGTGCAGGTAAGTGAGACCTTATAGAGAGGCACAAAATAGATACAGACCACATAGACAACCTGGATAAAAAAGTAATACAACTCATCTTCCATCCAGTAAGTACTTAGGTACCTACTTACCAAGTAGGTGATAATTAAGTCACATGATTAGACAGGTCTATTTCTTCTTTTAAGTGAAGACAAAAAAAATGTATGATGAAGGTTCGAAATATTTCATTATTTAAGTGCAGCTAAAGCTGCTAGTAGGTACCTACATGAGTGTTTATATTTCCATGTTGACGAGAGAGCGTGGCGCAGCCTCCTTGAGCCACGAACACTGCACTCGCAGCGGTCAGTCCAGCTCTCTGATGAAGCAGGTCGGTACTCACCATGACCACAAATATATTTACACTTCATACCGTTCTAAATAGGTCAGACTGGCGCGTGGCTACTTGCTAGTCCATTTTGGACTTGCTGTTGACACTAAAAGTTTTACAGTCCTTTTAGTATCTACACAAGTCCTCAATTGACTAACTCCTCATCTTCCTGACGAGCACACCGTTGTTGGAGAAGCCAGCGAAGCGGCCACAGCGGTACCTTTAAGCGGTGAATTACTTATAGGCGGACATGTAGGAGTCTGTACTTGTTTTCGCACAGACTAACTGCATTGCCGCCAATAAGTCGCTTAGATTTGACACCCCGACACGACAATGCGACACACGGCGCGGGACCAACGACAGACCCATAAAAATAATTATGATAAATTCCACTTGTCAAAGAGCCTGCCTACTAAATGTAGGCCTACTTACTACCTACTCAGAGGCACATTAAACCTAGAGAGCACCCTAGAGAAGCACCTCATAGGCACCCCAGCAGTCGGGAAGCGCGTCGCACGTTAGGGGTGCCTGTAAGGTGCCTAGGTTTAAGAAAATACAGATTGATTTAGTATATCCATTACAATACAATATCTATTATTTTACTAAATTGTAGTATTTAGAACAAAGCTATATCTTTTGTAACCATTGGTTGGCTTCATGGCTACTGAGCCAACCAATGGTTACAAAAGATATTGTCTCGGTACTGAATTACCTAATCTATAATTTGCCTCACCTGTATATTAAATTATCTATAATGATTATTTTGCACTTACAAACTATTAATTGTTTTCTGACTTGTATTTTATCTTGTACTTTGGATTTTACAAAAAAACTCACTTAGATATTAATTAGCACAGTATTTTACTTATCTATGTGCTTATAACTTTCATATCAACGAGAGAGCGGCGCCGGCGGGAGGGCGCGGGCAACGGCAACGACGGCAGCGGCCTGTTACTGTAGCGGTAGCGACTAGCGGCAGCAGCGGTAGCAGCAGCAGCAGTCCCTCATCCCTAAGCACACGAGGGAGCAAAGTACAATACACGTATCTTATTAAACCTAGTGGTTTCTCATTGCCTATTGCAGCTTACTTACCAGTACCACGTACTTTTCTGCTTACTTAATAAATGACTGGTAGATGGTAGAAAACGCTGTTAGCATTCAAGTCCTCCTTATGCATTTGTACAAAATGTAAATGAATATTAACTTGTACCGACACACGAAACACCAACACTAAACTTAAAATTTATATCAAAATAACTAAATTCTAAACGTAATCGTTGAATAGCCGGTAATATTGATATTGTAAGTACAACTATACGCGACTGATTCTTTTTCATTTTCAGGAAGTGACTAGCCTACATCTCGTCCTGCCGACTGTCCTGCTGACTACCTGAGAGAGCAACATCCAACCAACTCACCCACGGCCACTGAGTTCGGACTTACCAAAAGAATGTTAACGCAACACCTGTATGCAAGTTTAATATCATTTACCTGCCTAAATTAAGTTCAACCTTCCCATAATTCGTAACCAACGTAAATTATCGTAACGTTATTAAACATTGTCCAGAACATATCTCCCTTTTATTTCCCCTAACTTAGCATTATATAAGTTTATTTCCATAACAAGTAACATGTCAATAACTGAAAATATCCAAGTTTACAAAATGTGTACAAACATGAACGATGCGAGTTCGTTATTTATTTCCAACTATTTGTTTTTACCAGATCATCTGCCAAATAATTATAATAGGTATGTCTGAGTCCTCATTAACTATTACGGTAAAAGATCTGTTGCAGTAGTAAAGCTACCTAGTCACTACGCAACGGTAACAATATTATGAAACACGTTTTATTATTTATTTTTTTATTTATTTAATCTACTCATAAATGAGTAGATTAAAAAATACGTTGCCCGCTCTAGGATTTTCCTCTGTATTCACAAACATACCTACAAGTTCAGCTTCGATCTTTCTTATTCCAAGAAAGCCTACATTTCAGTGCCACATGTAATCATAGGTTATCGCTAGTAACACGATTTGTATACTGTTGTCTTGAGGCACTTACTTATGGCAGTCCAAAAAAAGTTGCGTAGTTTCCCGAACGCTGTGTTTCCCCTTGTTTCACTGCAGTGGTGATGCAACAGTGACCATCGAGCATTGTGCCTAGATCTTTTAGCGATTCTGCCATGATCATTCTCTTGTCGGTCGATCGAAAATGACGTTGATGCCAGATCAAAGGATTTGAAGGGGTCTTCCAGTGCCACAGTAAACCAGTTTCGTACACGGAGATATGATAAATCTTACTCACATCTCACTCACACAATGCAACAGAATGTAACAATGCAAAGTAAACATTATAAATATATTTCACGATAATTTTCTGTGAGGTCATAATTGGCGTTCCATAATCTCTGCCTACCCCCATGGGAGACAGGCGTAAAGTATGTATGTATGTATTTTCTAGGTGGCCGTGCTGGTTAGCCGTGGTGTCACTCGGATCTAGTAGTTTCATTTGTGCCGATGTATTGCTTCTGGCTTGTAAATTATTACTAATGTCTATATATGTATATCATAAAATATTGAATGTCTAATACATAATTATTCAACTGTGCGAGAGCCATGTTTCGGCGGCTCGACCGGAGTGATACCACGGTCTCACAGGAAAAGGGAAGTAAAACAACGCTTGTGTTATATTTACCCCGTTCTTAACCTCCCCAATCTCCAAATCCCCAACAATCCTCAAATTCCTAATCCCCAAAAGGCCGGCATTGCACTTGTAACGACTCGGGTGGGAGACCTGAGACCTGTTCCTTGTCATCGTTCGCTCCATCCAGCCGAGGCCGAAGAATAAGAAATGGTGACTTCTCCCTGGAGCACTCGGAATGATGATAGCCTGTTTGGTCGCTAATGCCCGTCACCTCTCCTCAAAGTGCTCTGCGGGCATTATGGCATTATATTATTTTTATAATTCTTTTTGCTCCAAATAGATGGCGCCACTTAACTATTTGTCTAATATTTTGTTAATGTTGATTTTATAATTATTTATATGGCATAAACCGGTAAACGAGCAGACGGATCACTTGATGGTAAGCAATCGGCGTCGCCCACACCAAAGGCGTTACAAATGCGTTACTGGCCTTTTGGGGAATAGGAGTTTGAGGATCGTTGGGGATTCAGGGATTGGAGAGATTGGGGAAACATTGGGTCTCCGGTAACCTCACTCACACGATGAAACACAACGCAAGCGTTGTTTCACGTCGGTGTTCTGTGAGGCCGTGGTATCACTTCGGTCGAGCAGGCCCATTCGTGCCGAAGCATGGCTCTCCCACACTTAGATTTTCTCGTAAGTAATTTGGATATTTTTAAATCTTAGGTGACCACTCATTGGGTCATGGTGACTTATGGGGCCAATGGCGTGCCAAAGGCCAAGTACAACACTAGCGCCACCGCAAACACTCTTGAAAATTAACTGCTATGTTATGATGAGAATTATTTTTTTATTAACCAACAATACAATTTACAAATAGGTACAACATTTAAACAAGGATTTATTTACAATTAAGCATTTAAAAAATGATAATAGTTCAAAGTTACCATAGACAAATAAAATTCACTATAACTGTGCTCTATGACTACATTGTGAAAAAAACTTTCTTACATTATGGTTTACTTTCTAATGCAATTTTGTTGTTATTTTTCGGGTACGGCAACACACAAAACTGCTGCGCGTCCATGTCAAGTGAGTGGTCTCATCTGTGTAATACGAGATCAATATAAATTAAAAATGCGGAATCCTCACACAAAATGATGTTATTTGTGTTTAATTATCGCGTAATATATAAACTACAGACATTGTGGTAATCTTTGTCACCATAATAACAGTGAACTTGTGATTGCTCTAAGACTACTTTGAATACATAGCAGCAAAGAGAAAATGACTGAGCCATCCTTTATCTACAAAGTGAAGTGTTGAACTTAATGTGAAAACTGTAGTGTACATTATGTAGAAAGAAGTTAAAATTAGGTGTGGACAGTGGCGTATCAGCGTTGTTTGGGCGTAACTGTGTTATTATGCGGAAAAGATGATGTGGTCGTTTGTGGTGGCGGCGGCCGCGGTGGTGACGGCGCTGAATGCGCGAGCCGAGCAGGTGTTGCTTCTCGATACCACCACTGAAGCGACCCTTGGCTGGACGCGCTTCCCTTACGGCGCTCAAGCGAGCACCCCCGGCTGGCTCGAGGAGTCCTACACTAACTTCGAGAAACAGATCAACTGGCGATCGTACGTGGTATGTGACGTCGCGCATCACAATGTTAATAACTGGCTCTGGACGCCATTCATCGAACGCAGGAATGCTAATCGTATTTATATTGAAATCAAGTTCACGATAAGAGATTGCTCATTGTTTCCTGGTAATGCCCTGAGCTGCAAAGAAACTTTTAGTTTGCTGTATTATGAGTTCGACGTCGCCACGCGAGAGCAGCCTCCCTGGGAGCCAGAGAGCTACAAACTTGTAGGAAGAATAGCTGCAGGTGAGGGTCGCTTCAACACTAATTCTGAAGTTGATATCAACACAGAGGTCAAAAGCATTGCAGTCACTAAGAGGGGCGTGTATTTCGCCTTCAGAGATCAGGGTGCATGTATATCAATATTGGCAGTGAAAGTCTACTACATCACTTGTCCAGAAGTTACTGTTAACTTTGCGAGGTTCCCAGCCACACCAACTGGTCGTGAGGTTACAGTCATTGAACAGGCCAATGGTACTTGTGTGGAGAATGCAGAGACAGCACCAGGTGAGGTTCCTCCAGTTTATTTATGCAAGGGTGATGGTAAGTGGACTTTACCTAGTGGCTCATGCAAATGCCGTGCTGGATTTGAGCCTGACCTAAACAATCAAGTGTGTAATGAATGTGCACCTGGAAAATTTAAATCTCACACTGGTGATGACCCCTGCATTACTTGCCCAGATTATTCTGAATCTACAGCTTATGCTGCTGCAGAGTGTAAATGCGTACCAGGTTTTTATAGAGCCAAAAAAGACCCTAAAAATGTGCCCTGCACACAGCCACCTTCAGCACCAGTCAATCTTACTGTCACATTTGCTGACCAGTTTTCTATTTCACTAGCTTGGCAACCACCACATAAAACAGGAGGACGTAATGATATAACTTACAGAGTCTTTTGTTCCAACTGTGGTCCTAGCATTGAGTACAGACCAGCTGCAACTGGTTTAAACAACACCAGAGTTACTGTAATGGGATTGGACCCGGTTACTGAGTATAAATTCCAAGTTTATGCTGAAAATGGGGTGACTGAGCAAACTGGAGAAGAACCTAAAAAGGTTGAAATTACTGCTGTAACAGAAGCCTCAGTTGTTAGTGTTGTCTCTAAATTGCGCATCCTGAGTGTAGAAAGTGACAAGCTATCTTTAGCATGGAACCCACCACCCATAGATCTGACTGATCCTGATGATACAATAGAAAGCTATGAAGTGAAATGTTTCCCTAAGGATAATATGGAGAAAAGTGCAAATGCCACTCTAAAAATCTCTAAAGAACCTCATGTCATAATAACTGGTCTGAAAAGAGATACTGAGTATGGTATTAGAGTAAGAGCAAAAATGAAGCGTGGTTGGGGTGAATTCAGTGGTATAGTCTATGCACGCACAGGATCTGTGCTTGAAACAACATTTGTAGGTGAAGAGGAGGGAGCGCAGGTGCGATTAGTAGCTGGTGTGATGGTCGCAGTGGTTGTACTGTCGGTCGTTGCAATTATTGCTACTGTACTATTTCTACGTTCACGAACAGATGACGAATGTGACAAAAAGCAACCCAGTGACTGTAATGCGCTCAACTATAGAAATGGAGAAGTGTACACCGGACCTGAGCGTCCTGCGAAGACCAGCAGTAACGCCACAACACCATTGTTTGCTGGGACAGGCTCCAGAACGTATATTGACCCCCACACTTATGAAGATCCTAATCAGGCAGTTAGGGAATTTGCACGCGAAATCGACGCTTCTTGTATTACAATAGAAGCAATTATTGGTGGCGGCGAATTCGGAGATGTCTGCCGAGGTAAACTTAAATTACCAGCGAGTTGTGGTCAAGAGATTGATGTGGCCATTAAGACCCTTAAACCGGGCTCCACAGAACGCGCGAGACGTGATTTTCTCGCTGAAGCGTCAATAATGGGACAATTCGAACATCCAAATGTTATTTTCTTACAAGGCGTAGTTACTAAATGTAATCCCATCATGATCATAACAGAATTTATGGAGAATGGCTCTTTAGACACATTCTTGAGGGCTAATGATGGCAAATTCCGTGTTGTTCAATTAGTTGGAATGCTACGTGGCATCGCGACTGGTATGCAGTACCTTTCAGAAATGAATTATATTCATCGAGATCTGGCTGCTCGTAATGTGCTTGTAAATTCGCAACTCGTATGTAAAATCGCTGACTTTGGTTTGTCACGAGAAATTGAGTCGACTGCAGATGGCGCATATACAACGCGTGGTGGAAAAATCCCCGTACGATGGACTGCACCGGAGGCTATTGCTTTCAGAAAGTTCACCTCAGCTAGCGACGTATGGTCTATGGGCATTGTGTGCTGGGAAGTTATGAGCTTTGGTGAACGACCTTATTGGAACTGGAGTAACCAAGATGTAATTAAATCCATAGAGAAAGGATATAGACTACCCGCTCCAATGGACTGTCCTGAGGCAGTTTACCAGTTGATGCTCGACTGTTGGCAGAAAGAGCGTACCCACCGTCCTTCGTTCGCGAGCATAGTGAAAACTTTAGATAAACTGATCCGCTGTCCTGATACATTGAGAAAAATAGCACAGAATCGCTCTGCGGACCCATTAGCGGGTGATACTCCTGACTTGATCCAGTTCTCATCAGTAGAGGAATGGTTAGAGTGCATCAAGATGTCGCGGTATATTGAAAAGTTCCGCGCGGCGGGCATCCTGGACATGGATGCCGTGGTAGACCTGACAGTGCACCAGTTGGCCTCGCTCGGCGTCACACTCGTCGGCCACCAGAAGAAGATAATGAATAGCGTGCAGAGCATGCGCGCCCAAATCCGTGGTAGTGGCCCGTATGGGTTCCTGGTGTAAGTGACATTGTGGTAGTGTGCGGCTGATGCCCGCGTTTGAGTGGATTTGATCTCGAAGTGCAACAACATGCAACAGTGATCTTAAGTATAAAATGATGCATTTTGTATATTTTTCTAAAAAACTGCCATAGAGTTTAGTTATAGGGGTAAAAGGACTTCTTTTCATAGTGATGTTAAGGAAATTATCTATGACACTATATTATGCAGCTGTTTATATTTCTTTATATTGTTTTTTTATTGAACTGTTGTATTTTTTTAGTTATAACGCTTGAGTGACAGCTATTGACTTGCCGGCCTAATTTAAAGAAACTGACACTTAACACAGCTTTATGAATACCACTATAAAATATAGTTACTTATATACAACGAAATTAAAGTTTTATTTGTCAAAAACTGATTTAACTATATTCCACTGGGTTGATAATTAGATAATGAAAAAATTGAAGAGAAATTGTAAAGTGATAAAATAATCTTAGTTAATTACTAGCTGACAGACATGACAACATTACTTGTTTACACTGATGTTTGTTTACTTTATTATTTTTTAAATATTTTTTGTACTTATACAATTTGATACATTCTCTATGTGCTTACGAAGCTTATTTTAATAAGTTTCTTTACACCATCATAGTCAGAAAAGTAAAGGATTTTTGTAATTTTAAGATATATCGAAATTGTAGTTAGCCAATTTTTCTGTACTCTTTTCGAGGAATATTATCTGTATATTCATGAGATTTTTAATGAAAAAAAAAGTATAGATGTGCTTTAGAGTGTGTTTCATGTTTTGTTTGATAGTATTAACATTGATAATATTTGTGATGTGAATTGTGGAGCGTGTGGTGACTGGTGAGGTGACATCAATGTTGATACTATTATTGTAATGTACTCGAAGCTTGTTTATGCTGAACCTCAAAAATGTGATTGAACTGAAGTACTTAACTAATTTAGAATGCCACAAAATGCATTTAAGTTCGTTTATATTTACTTAATCCGTATTTACATCGCATGTACATAAGGCTGAATAATTTAGTGTTAAATTGCTTTAAATGTAACTGAAAATTATATAAATTTTATATTTTAATATTTTATTTTGTGAATTTTTGTTTGGTGTAGGTGTAGGGCACAGTAGTTTACTCCTGCATTGTGTTCAACATGACAATTACATTGATCTTAATATTATTGTTTAGGTTATATTTGGTTCCATATTGGAAAACAGGTACAAGTACTTTTTTACTTTTAACTTTCGTTTGATCTTGATCATTCATGTAACATATAATTTGACTACCACTACTACACTATCCATGACGAATGTCAGAAGAAATAATAGCTTGCAGTTGGTACGGCAGCTTCACTGACTCAGCCTGCTTGGCCCACACGTGTGAGTCTGTTGTGTGGAACACAATGCTACAGTAAGCAGCCAGTCGTCCGCGCCCAGCCTTACACTGCCTGTAAATGTTATCAATTCTAGAATTAATTTTGTTTACTGAACAATCCTGTTCATATTATTGTACCTATTGAGAAATGCCAATATAGTTTTAAGTGCTTGCTTGTGATGTTACAAAGCGAATGTATAAATGTTTGAACGCTTCGCGGCTTTCACATGAGCTGAGCGGTTATCTGAGCGACAGACGCACCACCTACCGTCTGCACCACGAACTATATTATCAGTGATTTTGTATTTAGTTTATAATCATTTATTCGTAATTTAAGACATTAAGTTGATATTTTTATACAAACATAAAGTTATGTGGTGGCAGTAGTTGGCTAGTTGGTCAATTCTCATAGATGGTCATCAAAATTGCTCAATTATCCATTTCATCTTGTACATTCGACAATCACAGAATTTTGTAGCAAACTTTTAAATACCTAGTAAGTATTAAAACTCAAACTGTGTAAGTTCTCACTTTTGGTTGATGGTTTCCAATTAGAATGTATTATACAGAATTGTGATATGTTGCTAATATTTATAAAGTTTTGCCTTGTTTAACTTTTGCCTAAGCGATTTGCGAGCCGGGTTTCTACTTGTTTGCTATGGGACAGTATTTAACATCGCAATCGATGCTATGTTCTTATTGATTTAACTACTGATAAACAACTTGACATTGTTAAGTTTCGCACAAGTCTGGCAAATGAAAAGTAGACGAAAATATTATTTGCTTGCTACAATTTAATGTAATTACGCACTCGCCGTTGTCGTTGGCACATGGACTCTAAAATGCATCGGGTTTAGGACCGAGCGGCTGCACATTACGTATGCAAATTATCTGCGGCTTAAGTTTAATAACATATTTTTAAAAAGAGTCGTACGGGTGAGGTCAGGTAGTCGAACCTGTTTCGTTTGTGTAAGCATCGCGTGCTTGATCCTAAATAGCGTTTTTCCGGCGGTCGCTAGTGTTTCATACAGCGTGTGTTTATCTCACGGTTTTATGACTTACACTGAACTGTTTCGATTCGACTCTTGTTTATTTTACTTTCTTTGTCTGATACTGGTATTATAAAAAGGTTTTATTACATATTTTCTTTGCTTTTAAAGTCTAGCCGAGATTTAACATTGCTACATAAAGCTTGTTGAAAGTGTTACGTAAGGGATCGCGACCGCAGATTGGTATTCGTACGTGTAATGGTGCATCACGTGCCGACCGTCGTCCCCATACATTCTAAGTATATCGATAGTAATACAAATGCCACTTAAAATCCATGTGATTGAACTTAGTACAAAATGCAAATAACATAGGTAATTTATCAATTGACCTTCGTATTTCTTAAACAAACGTTAACGCATACGATTAATTGCGATTTCATCATTAGTCCACCAATTCGAAACATACGTAACAATTCAATCGTACAGAAAATTAATTGAAAATCTTTTCTTATGTTTGCAGTAACTATTTTATGAGTATTTAATAGTTTGTAAACCGACCTATTTGAAGCGAGCACATTTAATGTTTATAAAACATCGTGTAGTACTTCCATATTAGTCTCGAATAATCTTTATATAACTTGTTTAGTCTACCACGGCGGTCACAAACACAGGGATGATATTTCAAGAGACGTAGACTACACCCACACTCCCACCCAACCATAACAACCTGAAAATAAGCCAGCTCTTTTGCGCAGGCTAATACCCACGTCCATACTCGTGTTGGGATCGTTTTGTCTCCACGCTAAATACCAACATATTCTCCGTTTTTAAATCTAAATTACAGTATTTGAAAATGTGCTTGGAAAGTCTGCAGCGAATCTTTAGCTATTTTCTCAAAACTCGTATGCATAATATACATAATTATAATAATATTCGCCTACTTGTCTTGTCTCGTTAAAATTTGGTCTTGTTGTCTCAAGATGGTAAAGAATTTCAAAATGTTCTTCAAATCCATGCATATTACAATGGGTACCCTGCACATTGCCACAAATAAAACACACGTTATATTCTTGTGTACGTAATTAGTTTAATGTATTTTATTTTGCATAGCCCTTTGTTATCATAGAGGTGAAGTTACTTCACGTGACTTCGACCGATTCTGCGACTATATTACATTTCTCATTCAGGACAATAAAAAGTAATACAACTGCTGTATGCCTAAATCTGGAATCATTACTAAAGAAAACTAGTAGACTTACGAAGTAGCGGACTGCCTAGACTTCATAAACAGCCTATAAATGCCTACTGCTGAGCAAAGTCTTCTTACGCGAAGAACGTTTGTGCATTAATCACCACGCTTGCTCGTTGCGGGTTGGCGATTTCAAACTTATAATTAGAAATTGTAAATCCAGATTTCCTCACGATCCTTCCTTCGCCGTTTGTCAGTGGTGTCTAAATAATCTTAGAAAGGACCTACATAAACTCTGAAAAAGTCACATCAGTATCACCTACTTGCCGTTGGTAGGTTTCGAACCCGCACTCTCATGCATGAGAAACGGGCGTCTTAACCTCCGGGTCACCACGACACTAGACTAAGGCGGTTCGTATCGCCTGACACGGTTACCATAGTGGCTGTATCGCAGTCAACCCTCGCCAAGACGGACGTTTTTTGAGTGTAACGGACGCTCTGTCCTCCTCCCCAAAACGTGCGGTAAACATACTTGTGACTCCTTTGTATGTTTGTAGATGTTGCTTACCCCCGGGTAACCGTAGCGCTCGTTTGCCAGCCTCCTCTCTTAAAAAAAGATAATTCTGCCTGATAATATGTTCAGACCTTGCATCAACCTTCCAAACAACATGTCTACTTAGGTATTAGTGAATTTTATATAACACTGTGTTTATAGACACTTCATTAAGACCCTTACAAGCTTCAAAGAGCACGTGAAGTTGTATTTGTCTCGTGGCTTTCATTCAAACAATCTTGCACTTTAAAACCCTGAAAATAAAGTCTGAAATACAAAGTTATTAGAGCATGCCACGCTTCATGTTCCCCGCAGTCTGCGCAGACTCGTTGAGGTAAATCAGCGGTGTTTTGTACATTTTTTTCTCTTTCAAAGGACTTATGACTACGTATGACTATGACACGGATCCTTTTGGGGTGAACTAACTTGACTGAACGTACATGTGTAACATCAAATAACACTGTTATACGTACTGACCTACCTGTGTACACTTCAGAGTCTAAAAATTAGACTCTCGTGTAATGTAATGAACGCAGTGACGTCACACTCATAATTAAAACGTTTGTAGTTCATCACACATAAGCGAGATAACGTAATCTGATGTCCGCGTTCTAATTAACTCTAGAAATGTATTTTAAACGTCATAAAAATGTATTACTGTAAGTACGATTAAACTCAAACAAAATTGTCACGTTCAGTTTTCCTGAATACGGCACGTAAGATGTAGTACCACTACGGCTTATTGGATCCTAGTTGAAAGAGCACATTTTAATATTTTTGATGCAGTCGCATAACAAAGCTTTGTTGTAACTGATATGAAAGGCTATTGATACCTTAGTGATGCAATCAAGTCTACATCTCTACTAAGTCGAGTGCTTTCCGCTGCAGATTGCTTCTATCCTCCTTCCTTTGATCCGGCTTCCCTTTGTGCAGCTCTATCCTAGAGACGTTCGATCGCCTGGCCTGAATAGATTGTCGATTACAAATAGTCTATTGATATCTTGATCACTATGAACATGATTGTACAATATACTCGACATACATTTATATTATTGTGGCTACAAGTCTCATGTTCCCTGATTAATTAAACGGAAATCGTAACCGTAACTCGTGAAATGTATTTAAAATTTGCCCCCTCGAAAACTAACTCACTCTGATGTTTAATTTAGGTAACATTCAGATAATACTTTAAGCTGTGTAAGTCGCAAAATGTGTGGTAACCACTCGTGTGCGGTGTATCCACAATCAATCAACCCACTTAATCTATTTGTGTGATAACAGACACAATACGCCAATATGTCTGCTATGGATATCTTTCTATTGCAGAACAGACCGCGGTTATAAGCTCGCGTTAACTCGAAATAAATACCAATGTGTTGCAGACATTCTCTACAGGTGAAACCCGCTCGCAAATCGCTGTTGCGATGTAGTTACATATGTCGTTCTTGAATTTGATACGTAAAATTTATTGTAATTGTGTATCCGCTGATTTTCATTTAATCAATGTTGTGACTTCTATAGTTTTAATTCTACAAATCCTTTGACTATGACAAGTTTATACAAAAACTTTTCATTTCCAATAAATGTATGTATAATATGGTCTTCCAGGATTACGTTTGACGACATATTTAACGGTGTTCGATGTAATATTATAGTGTACCTAATCTTTGTATTGAGTTATCGGTTTTTATTGTTAAACAATTGTTTGCTAAAAGATGAATTACTAACCCTTAGTGAGTCGTCTTTTAGCTAAGAATGTTAATCTGTGACATAATATCTATAACTGAATCCTGAACGTCTGCTAAAGTTCAAAGATGTACTGAATATTTTCTGATCTGTGTGTAGGTTGAGTAAAAAAACAATATTATACAAATTAAATTAATTCTTGTGATTTTCAAATAAAATATACATATATACAGATTAAATGCCATTTTATACAGACACGATTGAAAAGTAAATATATTGACTAATTATTAGAATAAACTTGAAAGAGAAACTATAAGCAATAATATGTGAACCCCGCGACCTCGTACTAAATATAAGTGGAGCAGCTACGACTAGCGCGGCTCCTGGACAATGTATAGGGATGTTTGTTTGAGCACATGTCTGTGTTATGGTACTTAAACAAATTAGTGCCGATGCGGTTATCAGAACTCGCTCCACGATACCAACGCGGTATCTCTTGCCTTACATCTGTTATACACTCAAGATTCCTTGCCATTTTTACATTGATATAGTAATACATTATTATTTCATTACAGATTTATATTTTGTAATTCACTCCATAGTGAACGAACTCTGACGTTTAGTGTAATATGTGCACTGTGCACAATTGTCAGGTCCACCATTTTGTATTCCCATTTTACTGTGATCTTCTGTATTTATCTGTTAGACAAATAGGATTGCCTTCATGCCACGATCACACCAATTCATAGTTGATACTTATTAAATATTAAGTACATAAATATATAGAAATTTTATATCTTCTTACGTATACAATTGTTCATGAATTTTTAACATTCAAGATACAGTCGTGCCACTCTGTGCAGCTGATATATATATTTTGCCGACGAATATAATGAAAAGTAAGCAATAAGAAATATTTATATTACAAAGCGAATATAAAAATTCATGAATATTATTGCTCAGACTGTCACACGTCATTCTAATAGAACTCATAGTTTTTATACACGAACCATTAGTTATTGCGAATAACATATATCTGACGGAAGATAGACATGTTTAGCTGTAGCAGTGATATGTGACAACCTGGTCAAGGCACCATAACACCAAACCCATTCAATAGAGTTATAATAATCTAATAAAATTAACATTTATTTACTAATACTTAAAATCTAGCTAGTATAAATGAAGAATATAGTAAGAGTTTTGATACATTGGACAAACAATCTGAACAAGTCCAGTATTTGAAAGATAGTTTAACAAACTTTTAAAATCGCAGTGTTTATGCAAATTGCGAATAAAATACTGGTCCTTTTACCTTAGGGCCAATTTATTCGTCGTTTGTGTTATGGAAAATGAACCTAATTGTTTACATTATAAGATGTATATTATACCTGATGAAGCTGTATTCATTAAAGCAATAATAAGCCTCGATTAGACAGTGATGTCCGACAGGCCGACAGGTAACAACCTCCGTCTCGAAACGTGTTCTGTCACAAATTCATTTTGTTATTGGTTTACGCATACATTATTGGCAAACAACCATTTTGCTGTCAAAGCAATTAAAAATACCCAGTACTTCACTCCTTTCAACTTGGAATTGTTTACCTAGTAAAGCCTAATAGTACGAAATGTGCCTCGCTCGTCCATTTGAATACTCGAGGTTAATGATGTTGTCAAAGCGAGTCATTTCGATCCCATTAAATGCAAACATATAACGCATCAGTTGTATGTGTGTGTGTGTGTGTGTGCGCGCGCGTGTATGCACTACTGATTTTATTGGTTTTTAATTCGATTAGGAACGAGTACATGTAGAATCCATCAAATCCTAACCAATGCGAAAACCAGTAACAAAATTCCTCCAGTGTGATACACTGCAGCCCAAATACTCGGATGCCATTCAACTTTAACATATTCGTGGAAGTGTTCAACCCGTACAACATATTGAATGGTCACGACAGTACGAGTCATAAATTCAGTTTAAAATTGAGTAGCATCTGTATTCGGGGGTCACAGATACAAATAGTTATTTAATACCAATATGCAGATCAAATTAGGAATAATTTTTGTCAGATACAATCGGAATAGGAACCGTAGTAACACCAATCATAGCCTAATTAATTATAACATAGAGTGATGTTAGATTTTATTTATAAGTATTCTTTTTATATAGATTAAGCGGGCGTGCGGTTAGGGCAGGTTCGTTCCCGCCTCGAGTATATTTTGATCGCCGCGCGCCCGTCTCGTATACAGAGATAGTATAAATTAGCGCAGTTTTAAATCTTTACTATCAATCAGTATAGGTGAAAGAAACAATGAAGTGTAAGCTTGGCTATAATTTATGTAATAAACTATTGATATTTATTATGTGTTGTTATTTCTTACATCCTCTAGTATAGTTATATTGTAAGTTGTTGTCCCTTTCTTTCCGTTCTTTCACCAAAACCATCCTAACAACGGAGCACATCGGAACTATTCATAGTGTAGACAAGATAAACGGGAGAGTAGGAGCTCTGTTCAAATGTGTGTCTTATTTCTGTTTAGAAGAGCTCATGATCTGGGTTCGAGCGCAAAATTATGTGCTTTTGATATCCGAAAGTCTCAAAGATGGCAGAAAGTTAAAGGACTGATAGGTATGGCAACCACTGGATCATCTATTATTAGGGACAGGGCTTACTAGTTCTTTCTACTGGGAAAATGGTCTTTGTTATATATAGTACTAGCGGCCCGTCCCGGCTTCGCACGGGGGGACTTAAGATTTTTTTACATAGTTTTACGTTTTATTTATATTTATTCTCAGTTTTTTTTATTTAGGAAGTATTTATCTTTTGAAAATATTTTTCCGGACTTCATTAAATGAAATAATCATTTATTTAATTAATTATTTTCTTCTTAAATAGGAACCTACCTATTATAAGGATTGAACCATTCATTAAAACGATTGTTATGAGTAAACTATAAAAGGTAGACATATGCTCTCGCGGACT